GCACATAGGCAGATCCTCCAGGGAATTGCTTGTAAAGGACAGCACAGTGTGATTAGGGACTGTGGACCCCCAAGGACAGTGTGACTAGGGAAGGAGGGGCCCCCAAGGCTGTTACTGCTTTTCTTGGGCCTTTGGGTGAAATGGGAAAAGATGCCCTGGCTGGAACAAAGTGGTGCCAGTGGAGAGCGTGTGAGGAAGACAGCGCACCAGCGTGTGGTTTGGGCAGTGAGGGCTACCTCACCTATCCTTTGAGCTAGTGGTTTTCTCTAGTGCATAAACCACCAAACTCACATAGCGGGTCTGTGCTCAGATAAGCAGTTTACTGGAGGGCCATGAGGGTTAGAACATGACTCTTGTCTTGTCTGTAAATAGGTCCATCTCTAGGTGTAAGCCTACCCAGTTTAGTCAACTGGCTTGCCTCTCTCACCCGTTTACCGGTAGCCTCCTCTGTGCATCTAATACCCAACCAAAGTGGACCCCTTAGTCCCTAAACATGTGAATGATGTCCAATGAATACCGCTGCTCATGCTGTTCTTATGTAGGCTGCAGAAACCTTATCTCCCCACCTCCCCCAGGTCCACTTTATTATTTTTATTTGTTTGGATAGGTATATGTGGTATGTATGAAGGTGAGTATGCACTGTCACATGTGTGGGTGCATGTGTGGGTGCATGTGTGGGTGTGTATATGTATACACTTATATGTGTAGGGCTGAAGTTGATATCAAGTGTATTCTTCAATTGCTCTTCACTTTTTTTTTTTTACTTAAGTCCAGCTTGCCCAGACAGAGAATCCTGTCTCTCAAGTGTTGGGAGACACTGTAACTGCCCAATTTTCTTTCTTTATTTTTTTATAATATTATTTTCTTTATGTATGTGGAAGAGAGAGAGAGAGGGAGAGGGGAGAGAGAGAGAGAGAGCGAGCAACTTACTGGAGTTGATTCTCCTTCCACCCTGTGCATTGTGGGGAATTGAACCCAGGTCCTTAGGTTTGGCAGCAAGTGCCTTTATCCACTGAGCCCTCTCCCTAGCCCCTGCCCAGTCTTTCCATAGACTCTAGGATCTGAACTCTGGCTCTCACACTTGTAGGGCTTTATTCACTGAGCCATCGTCACAACCCCTGAAGGTCCATGTTAAACATATTCTTTCTGAAGCCACTTCTGACTTCCTTGAGTGAATCTCATTTCTTGCTGAACTATAGACAGAAAAGTATATTTATACGCATATGTTTATTTTCTTGAAAATTGTCTGCCTCTCTTACCAGAATGCAAACACATTATCAGATGCTCCAGGTCTGGGACACAGTGGGTGACTGATAAGTGTGGTAGATGAATCAATGGGTGAATCAAGGAAGAGAGAGCCCTTATCTTGCTCTGGATTGTAACAGTCCATTGCAGAGATGATTAGCACAGCATTAGAAACCAGTAGAGTACAGACACCCATCAGATGTTGGGTGCAGTCTTGCAGCATGGGCCAGGAGGTTAGGTCTGGGTCACAGGGAGGATGGGACAATTTGGAGTAGTGGCCAGGGTAGCTGAGGACACTGTCAGAGTGGTGGTTCTTTACTAATAGACTGAGGCGTTTGGTATTTTACACTGGTATGGCCTTGTGAAGCTAGTGTGATGTTTCAGGCCAGCATAGCTGGCTTTGATTATGCAGAGCAATCCTCAGGAAGAGCAGGGCTGAGACTGGGAGGAGATGGTCATGAGGATGAAAGGGAGAGCCACAGGACTGGGAGGGGCTAGCGGGAGAGGAAGGCCTCTGGCCAAGCAAGGAGTTATCTGATGGTCAGATGTGAGGAAGGATAAACAGGTGTGAAGCTTTCATATCGTGGGAAGCAGGGGCGTATTAACAGCATCCTGTGCTCAGGATGGAGGCAGGTCCAGTGGCTTCCTGATGTTTCAGGCCTTTCTGATCCTGCGATTGTCCTGGGGGTAGGGTGGCCAAGGGATCCTGGAGAGCTGGGAACTTGGAATATTGGGTAAAGTGTTTGCTATGCAAACACAAGGACCTGAGCTTGGATCCTCAGCTCCCACACAAGAGCCAAGTGTGGCGGAGTCCATCTGTAATCCCAGGGTTTAGGGGGAGATTTTGGGTGTGTAGCAGAAACAGGAGGATCCAAGTCTAGGTGAAATGTGAGCTCCAGATCAGTGAGAGACTCTATACAAAAAAATAAGTGGAGAGAGATAGGAAATACCCAACCTGTTGCCTCCACAAGATATAAGGGTGAGAGAGCACATCCACATATAACACATTATAACACACACACACATACAGAGAGAGAGAGAGAGAGAGAGAGAGAGAGAGAGAGAGAGAGAGAGAGAGAGAGAGATTGATTCTGGAGTGGAGATTAGGCTCAGAGGGATGGACAATGAGAAGAATATCCCAGGGCCTCCTCACATTAGTAGCTATTTACCAGTTGGTACAGAATATTTCCACATAGAGGCCATACTGATGGTGACCACATTAGTATCACTGGAGGCGAAGACTAGAAGTGGAAATATCACTCTGAAATGGGTACCAGAGGGATTTTTGTCAAAGAGCAAACAATTTTTCATAGCAGTGAGAAGCAATGGCAAGAGCCTGAACCAACTTGACTGTATGAAAATGAGGGAACAGGCCTCAGTAAGATTCTAATTAGATAAGAGAAGTTCTAAAAATGTCAGGTTAAAAGAATAATTTAACTATGTATACACACACAAACACACGTATGTGCACTTATATAGCTATTTCCATGTCTGCAGCGGAAAAGCACAGGGTTACACCAGTGTAAAGCATTTAAATGTCCCAGTGTCTAACAGTGACAAAAATAGTGACAAATTAGACTCTATTTAGCATTTTAAAAAAACCAATCACAGAACTCACAAGGCAGAAACTGTTTTCATCTCCAATTTAGACACATGTGTGGTGGTATTGTGTTCCCCAAAATATTGTGTACCCTAATAAACTTATCTGGGGTCAGAGAACAGAAAAGCCACTAGATACTTAGGATAGGTAGTGGTAGCACACGCCTTTAATCCTAGCATTCCAGAGGCAGAAATCCATGTGTTCAAGGATATAGCCAAGCATGGTGACTCATGCCTTTAATCCCAGAAAGCGAGCCTTTAATCCCAGGGAGTGATGGTAGAAAGCAGAAAGGTATATAAGGCATGAGGACCAGAAACTAGAAGCATTTGGCTGGTGAAGCTTTCAGGCTTCTAGCAGCAGTTCAGCTGAGATTCATTTGGATATGAGGACACAGAGACTTCCAGTCTGAGGAAACAGGATCAGCTGAGAAGTTGGCCAGGGGAGGTTAGCTATGGCTTGTTCTGTCTCTCTGATCTTCCAGTGTTCACCCCAATAACTGGCCTCAGGTTTGATTTTATTAATAAAAACTTTTAAGATTCCTGCTACACACATGGAAATGGAGATTTAAAAAGTTTGAATGACTAATTCAGTCCCATATGCACCCGAGAATCAAGTCTTGTTCTTCTGGTTCCTAATTCCAGTGTTATTGGTTTTTTTCATCAAGTGAGTTGATAAATGCTAGATTTTCATTTTCATACAAAGATTTTTAGGTGAGAATTCCTGGGTGACACCTTCAATGTGGAGAAGTCCAGCCAGTACCAGGAGATTTTCAAGCATTTGAAAATCAAACATTTCTGTGTAACTCTCTTTTATATTTTCTTGGGCACAAATGGAGTTTTTAGTTCCCCTCCAGAGGTAAAAGCTGTCCCCCCCCTGTACCCCACCCCCTCCCCTGCTAAAGGAAGTGTCTGAATTGGTGTACTTTGATGGTGATTCAGGAACTCAAATTGTGTGTCGAAAAGCATATTTTTCCTCCAGACATCTTCTAAGAGTATTAAATTACTGAAGTCGAAAGGGCTGGCTTGTCCATACCTTTCGGTGGAATTGTTTGCCTGGGATGATGATTTATGGGCACAGGAGGACAGCAGCTCTGACAGGCAAGACGATGACTGGAGAGGTTAAGTAATTTGTCTGACAAGTAGGGGCAGGGTGAGCTGCCGCTCAGGGAAGGGATCCAAGAGGAGTCCCAAGCCCTCCTATTACCTATTTTGTTGCTTCTCAGGAACTGTTTCTTTCTAAGACTCAGAACCAACGTAGCAATATTTCCTTTCCAACACAAAAGAGAAAAACACCTCTAGATTAAATGGTCTGCCTGTCCCAAGCACCAGGAATAATAAAACACCAGTGCAGTTTAAAGAAATTCTGGAGACTCACAGCTCAGCTTCCCACTGCTCTTCCTGGCAAAACCTTCGATGGATGTGGAAACCCTGACTAGGGCAGTGAGAAGGGAGCCAAGCACAACATTCTAAACAGAGGCACATGTTGAAAACTTGAGTTCAATGGGTTTGAAGATGTCTCCACTAGGGTATCCCAACATATTGATTAAGAGAGAGAGAGGAAAAAAAAAATGTAAAAGTGTAAAGGAAATACAGGCAGAATTGGAAAATCTTTCAAGGGAGTCTATCCTTATATCGTAGTATAGCAAGATTTCCAGGAACGAGGGGCCCCGAAATCTCCTGCCAAGTTGTTCCTCTCCAAACGTAGAGTTTAGTACTGACAAGTTCAACTGTTCAGACGAGTGGGAGAGCAGGTTTGTGGTGACAGGATCTAGGTCACCAGTGTGGTTTGAAATGGCTCCTTAGTCCTAACACAATGACTGAGGGACAAGAGAATTTTCTGCCACTTGCTAGCTTTCTCTCTGAAATAAAACAAACAATCAAAGACCCAAACTCCCAAACTCCATGCCACTCTGAACCAACTCAAGTCAGATGTGTAATTCAGATTGATAGTCCCTCTTTTTAGGGCCCCTCAGCCTTCCCTAGGAGGGCTCCGGGTGAACAGGTATGACAAACACACACAGCATGAGAAACCCTAGACAGACATCAGTAAGAATTCAGAACGCACGGCAGCTGACTACGGTGTCATGCCTGCCTGTAAGGTCCCCATCCCGAGATCCTGGGCTAGCCGAGACCTGAAGTTTGTTTGAGATTCTTACCTCAAGATCCAGAAGTGTCCAAAGTTGGGGAGTACCTCCGATTCCCTTTGCCTTTGAAGCAGGAGTGTTCTCTACCTTGCGCCTTGAACGAAGCTGCTGAAACGTCATGATAATTAAGTCTGAGTCATCTCAGCCATGAACTTTTTTTTCAGATGACTCTTTCAAAATGTGATACATAATTGCTTCACTACAATTACCCAATGGCATGAATGAATACTAGTCTCTATCTAGATGAACAGACAAGGCCACCCATGCAATCATTACCTTCCTATAACACGTGTGTTCTTATGAAAGTAGGGCTATTTAACCAAAATGATTAAAAAAGGGCTTCTGACCTATTTTTAAAAGGTGTTAATTCTTACTGAACTGACTCAGGATGTAGCTCAGAAATAGAGTGCTTACCCAGCATGTCCAAAGCCCTGGGTTCCACCTCCAGCATCATGGAGGGAAATGGAAATACTGAGTTGGAAAAGGAGGAAGAATCTCCTTTTCTGGGACAATAAGCCAGGTTGGGTGTCTGCTCTACTACTATATAGGATACCTTTTGGACTTTAGGTGGATCAAGAGACTCAGTCTGAAAGCATGTGGCTTGATAACCAGCCTGGCCTAGTTATCATCTTTATCATTCAAGGCAGGACCACAGATGGCATCTCTGAGCATTTGCTCTTTTTCAGAATGCTATAATGACTTCCTGTCCCAAGATTTCTTTGACACAAGTTGTATGTGTTTATTAGCCGCTCTATCTCTCTGGTTTATATGATTTAGCTAATGTATTTGTTTTCTTCTTTCTTGCAACAGATTTCTCTGTGTAGCTCAGGCTGGCCTCAAATTTACAATACTTTCCCAAGTGTGAAGACTCCAGGCATGCACCATCACATTTAGCTAGTTAGTGAATTTTGAATGACTAGAGATTGGATTGCATGATATGTCATAATTTACCTACATTAAAAATGTTTAGGGTAAGATAGGATTACTATCTCAGTTTTTCTAGGATGTGTATTTTCAGTACTAAAGTAAGGACAGCTTGGGCCAAATCAGGATGTCTAGTTTCTCCAGCGAGAACAGCAGGCACGTTCATTTAGCAATATCCCTGCTACTGATGAAGTTGTGAGTTTATCATAAAAATACCCTGGGTTCTAGGTACCTCCTTAACTTTATTTTTTATCCCTGGTAAAATGGGGTTCTGCCTGAATCGGCTCTGTGCATCAATAGGAAACACTGATAACAAGGGAATATGCTGTTAAAGCTGTAAAATTTGAGTGGCCTTGTCAATGGCAAAATGAGCCTGGAGACAAGTCATCATAGACAAATCCACTTATTCAATCAACAAGCATTTATCAAGGGCTTACTGTAGGCAAAGGTCTCCTTAGGAGAAAAGACAAGGGGAACACTGGCTAAGACGGAGAAACTTCTAGCAGACAGAAACAAAACCACACAAACTATAGCATGCATTATTCTGTGGTCTGGATCCCAAATGTCCCCTTGAAGGCTTGCGTATTAAAAGCTGTGTTGTCAGCGTGGCATCATGGGGAAATGGTGCCATTTCTGAGTGGTGGGATCTCACGGGGAAGTTCTTAGGTTATTGGAGAGACACTGCTGGAGGGAACTGGGGACCTGGGATTCTCCACTTTATGCTCTTGTTTTCTTGACACCAGGTGAGCAATTTTCCTCCACCACAAACTCCTGCCATGTCACAGGTCCAAGTCAATGGTGCCAAACTGTCACAGAGTGGCACCTTTAAAACCACGAGTCAAATAAACCTGTATTTTTTATGACTTAATTGTCTCAGGTAACTTTTTACAGTGATGGAAAGCTGACTAATGACACTATGAAGGAAATAAGGGAATGTAGCGGTGCAGTAACCTTATAATTGGTAGAGTGATGTAGCTGCAGGAGGCCAACTTGTCAGGATGGTCCAGGCTGGCTTCTATGAGAGGTAATATGTGACTTGAACTCTGACTATTAGAAGTCACTGAAGGGAAATAGTGGGGAGGGACCAAGAAAAGTGAGTCAGTGGAACAGTGTGAGGATGGACACAGTGGTAGGCAGAGTGATGCTGATGAGAGCCATGCATGAGGATGGGCACAGTGGTAGGCAGAGTGATGCTGATGAGAGCTATGGATGAAGATGGACACAGTGATAGGCAGAGTGATGCTGATGAGAGCTTTGGATGAGGATGAATATAGCGGTAGGCAGAGTGATGCTGATGAGAGCCATGCATGTAGCTTGAATTCAGGGGAGAGGTCTCTGGAAGCATGAATTTTGAGTCATCACCCAGAAGTGAAAGACACCATTTTGGCATTGGGTCCTAGGATGCTTGATGGGAGACAATGCCAGGCGTCACACAGATAAGTGCATGAAATTGTACTGTGGTCCTTCTTAGTGCATTAGAAAAAAAAATGCAGGAGCAGACATAGAGGATGAATGATGCCACCTATTATATGGAAAAATTTATAAAATAACTCTAAACATTTATGTTCTTTCTTCAGCATCTTCCTAGGGTGGCACCAATAGTTTCTTGGTCCACCTCTTCCTCTTGAAGAGGAATGCAAAATTAGTTTCCATGGTTACAGTCATCCCTCAGTGTCTATAGGGTATTGGCTCCAAATGCCCCACAGGTCCTCAGATCTTCAGAGAGAAGTATCTTCTATCCAGCAAGATAGCATTTCATATAATCCAACCACATCCTCCAGTATTTTTGTTGTTGTTGTTGTTGTTGTTTGAGACAGGGTTTCTCTGTGTAGCTTTGGAGCCTTTCCTGGAAATCACTCTGTACTCAGGCTGGCCTGGAACTCACAGAGATCTGCCTCTGCCTCCCGAATGCCTGGCCCTCCAGTATTCTTTAAATCACCCCTGGATTACGTGGACTGCAGAAGAACATGTTGCTCTACTGAGTCACTGTGGGGACAGCAGCAGTAAAGGTCAGGACAGAGGCAGTTTTCCCAAATTCCTTTGAACTAAGCTGTTGCCTGAACTGATAGGTATGGAAACACAGATAAGCGGGTCACATGCAGTTTTTATAGCTGTCCTTTATTTGAAAATTCACAGATGCTTTCTTTCTACGTGACATTTCCCTTTTAAGGAAATTTGGAAACATCTTAAATGAATAACATATGGCTGATAAAGACCTAACACTCTACAGCTCCCATGAAAGGTAGAATAATTTTTTAAGTGGCTCAAACAATTGGAGTTTATTTATTTATTTATTTATTTATTTATTTATTTATTTATTTATTTATTTGGTTTTTCGAGACAGGGTTTCTCTGTGTAGCTTTGCACCTTTCCTGGAACTTGCTTTGGAGACCAGGCTGGCCCCGAACTCACAGAGATCTGCCTGGTTCTGCCTCTTGAGTGCTGGGATTAAAGGTGTGCGCCACCACCGCCCGGCTGCCATCAATTGGAGTTTAAAAAACAAAAGTCAGGAGGGAAGATGAGCAGTAGGTAGAGGTTCAAGTCTGGTGGACTAAATTCAGTCCCTGGAACCTACGCAAAGATAGGAGAGGACTGACTCCTCCAGGTGGCCCTTGATCATCCACACATCCTGTGGCATGCCCTCCCACCCTCGAGAGGGTTTCACTGAGTAACAGTCCTGGCTGTCCTGGAACTCACTCTGTAGACCAGGCTGGCCTTGAATTCACAGAGATCCTCCTGCCTCTGCTTCTCCAGTGCTGGGATTAAAGGCATGCACCACTATCACCTGGCTATAAATAACAAATTTTAAAAGGTCTAAGAAAGGGAGAAATTGGTTTCACTGCTTTTAGAAAGGATGTTTAAATGGGCTCAACTAATTTTCTACTCTGTTCAAGGAATCATTTTAAGGCAAAACTTCCAAGTTCGTCAAGAAAACAACAAAAGCCAACAGTACTCTATCCAATTCCATCGTCTTTTGGTTTCCACATTTAAGTGAAAAAAAGTTGCTGGTAATTCCTGTTTATTCTAACTACTCATGATTGTAATCTAAAACACAAGATTACTTATCTCATTTACTAATGGCTGACAGGGCTTTAGTCTTTTCAGATCAAGGGATACTTTGAATTAATGCTCCAGAAGGAAGATAATAATTAACTATGTAGAAATAATTATTTGTTAAAGATGCCAAGATCCAATTTGAAGGAATTAACCATTCTTTGTGCTTGGTTTCTAGAATATGTAGCATGTAGAACTTTGTGCTCTGAGCAAAGCAGCCAGTATCATTATCAGATCAGCTGTGCATGCTTGAAAGAGTGAATCTGTTGACTGTTCCCTCAGAGGAGGGAGTTGTGGAGGATCACTGGACCTTCAGTTGAGGTTCCAGCTGTCCATCAGTGCTGGAGGCCATGGGAGTATGCATCGGGTGACAACTAGTATTCAACAGGTCGACCCACCAAATGAATAACTCTCTGATGGGGAGCCCCACTTGGCAAGGACCATGGGGTCACTGATTGTAAATGACTGGTTGTTTTCTGTCTGTAGTTTTTCTCATGTGCCACTCCATTTCTTCACTAAAAACAGCTATGGGTGTTTCCCCAATGCTTGTGTGTTTATCTTGTGAAAATATTCCATCTTTGGGCACACCTATAGTTATGGATGGTCAGGAAGATGATTTCTGCTTAAACTGTACAATTTTGATGAATAGAAATAACACTGGGATGTTTCTTATGGCTCAGACTGACATAGGAATATAGCAGTGTTCTCAGCTACAAGGGCAGCCTTTTTCACACTTGTCTGATTTTAGACTTCAAAACAAATTCAAAACAGAGTTGCACCTGCAAATGAAATGCTAGAGGACACATTCCCAGGTGTCAATTTGTAGAACCAAGGTCAGGCACAAGGCAACCTTGGTGCCAGTTCCCTGCTTGTAAAGTGTGGCTGATAAAGACCTAACACCCTACACAAATTCCTCAAGCAATTAACTCTCTACGTGAACTTCTAACCTCAGAATTTTAATACAAGACTCAACGATCAGCTAACTAACTGTTTATTGTTTAGGTCATGAATAACAATTAATCAATTAACTAAGTCCAGAGAAAAATAGATTTATGTCCATCTACTGTGGAAAAAGTTTCACAATTAACCAGGGCTTCAGAGGATGGTTTGGCCTCATAGCC